CCCACGGCGCGGCACCTGGCCCGGCCGCCGCTCCGAAGTCCGGTCTCCGACCAGACAGAACTTCCTCCACCGCGTCGCGGCCCAGTCCGGGCTCTTGACCCGGACCCCGCCCTCCGTGCGGAGGAGCCACGGCCTCCTGCAGACTTGCCAGGCCTGTGAGGTGCCAAGGGCTGTGCCCTGCTGGACGCTAGGACAGGGTCATCCACGGGGAAGAGCCCTGGCCTGGAGTCGGAAGACCTGGCTGCCGGTTCTTGACCTCTGAGCCCTTGTGTCATAAGCTCCGACTCCAGAGTTCGTAATACCAGCCCTACTTCACTGTCGGGGCTTGGAAGACCAAATAGGGGATAGCACCACTGTGCTTTGGTAAAAAGGCCAAATGGTATCTTGGAAAGCTGGTAGTATGGAAGGTTGAGTCGGATAAAAAAGCAAGTTCCAAATAAGAAGCATGATATCATACTATGTACTTGCACTTTTGATAGCACACAGCGGACACTGTACACATTTGTTTTTCAAGGATATGCAGGGGCCTTCAACAATTTCAAGGAAAATGTGCATTATGAAAAACGTGGAAGCTAGCAGGTGGTGTGGTGGTTAAGGTGGTGGACTCCTACGTGGCTGGCTGACTGCTGTTGGAGTCCCAGACTGGTGGCTTGAAAGGCACATTAAGCCCACATATGTGTGTGCGTGCCCAAAATCCTATGAAGAGAATGGACAAGGGATTGTAGAGTGGCCATCTCCCCCCCCACACACACACACACCGTAATTTCTCTTTTACTCTCACTGTCTCTCTCTCCAGCATACACATTCTACAGCAAAAAACTTAACAGAAAAAATGTATGCGTGAATTTCAACATTTTTGTATTAAAAATAAACTCGAAATTTAATTCCATTTCTCCATGAACTTTCACTGGTTTCCTTATAGCCCCTGTTGAGAGGATATGAAGTAAGTAGAAAGAATGTACATTTGAATGTTAAATTAGGTGCCTGTGAGGTCCATCAATCTGGCTGATAGGAAGAAAAATAACCCGCGGGACCAGCAGTTAGCGTAAGGGCTATGTCGCTGGACTCCCATGTAGCCGACCGCGTTCAAGTCCCAGAACTGGTGGCTTAAAACTCACACTGGGCGCGTGTGCATGCGTGCCCAAGATCCCAAGAGGAGAACGGAGGAGAAGGGATTGCAGTGTGACCATCCCCCCTGGGGGGTGATTTCTCGCTTTCTGTCTCTCTCTGTGTTTCTGGTGAGCGAACGCACCCTATAGCAAAAACCTCTCAATAAATAAATAAATAAATAACCCAGGCACCTCTTTCTCTCAATAAACTTTCCTTTTTCTCTTGGGGGAAAACAAAACAAAACAAGAACCAGAACCCTTAAGAAATTTCTACTGCTGCTGTAACAGATTACTACAAATTCAGTGACAGCACAGTTTTACTACTGGGTCATCAGAAAAGTTGTGACACATTTTTGCATAGAAAAATTACATCATGACTTTTCCAACGACCTAATATATTACAGTTCGGGAGGTCAAATGTCCCAGTGAGCTAAGATTAAGGTGTGGGCAGAGTTCTTTCCAGAGATCCTAGGGGATCCTAGTGTTACCTTGGCTTTTCCAGCTTCTTGTGCTTGCCCACATTCTGTGGCTTGTCACTGTACCCCCTTAGACCTCTGCTTCTCTTTTTCTGATTCAGACCCTTCTGCTTCCCTTTCTCCTTTTAAG